TCAATAAGCATCAGAATAGTTTTGACTAAGAAAAAAAATTATAACACCAAATTTACAAATAAAGATTATAAAACTTCAATTTCATAAAATTATTTATGACTAAATCAAATATGTATTAAAAAAATTTCTTTAAAAAATGTTTTATCTATAAAAGATAAATAATATTTGAAATTAACTTGATGTTTGAAAAGTGGAACTGCAGCAAAATGATATTTGAGAAGACTGCAATTGTGACAAAAAGATTAAAATTTAAACTACTCAAAAACAAAAAAAATCTACAAGGGGGTGCTGAAAAAGCTTTAAGTAAAACATTTAAATATACTGAACCATACAACTGACAATAGAATTGTAAACAAAAATATTAAATAATCTTGTCAGTTCAAGCCTTTCATATCAAAGTTTTGCACGTTGCCAAATGCATTCAGAAATATCTAAACTGTCAGCTGTATACAATCACTTTCTTATACCAATGGTTAAAAATGGCTTTGAGCAAATCAAACCTGTAAGTCCTAGCAATAACCATCTATCTTCAAACCTCATAGCCTGGCACTACAGAATCACAAACAAAGAAATGTATCAGGTAACAAAACTCACATCCCTTGAGGACTTTCAGCAACATCAACAAAAATGAACTGCACATTTACATGTGCAGTTCACTTTCGTTGATGTTGCTGAAGAGAAAATAATAACACAATGGAAATGTTGATGTTCCACACTAATTCATGCAAGATTAGGAAGGAATGCGTCATCAATACTGAAAAGATTGGTAACAGTTACTTGATCTGAATAATCTATTTCCCTAAAAAATTATTTAAAGAGATAGATTTTATAAATTTCAACTGATAGTAACACTGGCTGCTCTGTCAATGAATGTCAAGTGTTTTCTTATAAGTAAATGGCTAATATTACCAGGATATATTTTTTTTGTTGAATGTTGGTGTATGTTTTGGAATTTTTATTGTTTTCATAATACATATATCAAAAATGAGTTCTATTTATTGTAAAAGTTTTAATTTATAGAAAAGTGACAAAAAAAAAAAAATAAATAAAGGGATCAATTGTTATCTTTAATTTTGTATTCATGGTGAGATGAACCTAAAAAACAGAGGGTATCAAAGGTTTTGATATTTTAAGTACAACACAATTACAAATTTACATAAATGTTGCTGTTATTTTTTGACAGCACAAGTATAATCATTGTAATAAACTCCATAAACAGTAAGTTTTATTTTTAGCAGAGACCATTGAGGATAGCATTCAACCAAGTAGAATGGAGAGAAAAATGAACGAGAATGACAAGGATACAACTTCTAAAATATATTGAAGGTCCAATCTTAACATATAATCCTTTAGCTATCATAAGTGAAAATTATTTAAAAAATAATTTAACACTTGTCTATCATTGTAACTATGGGCACAATATATATCTACATAATTTGACAAAAAAAAAAAAAAAAAAAAAAAAAAAAAATTAGAAGTTACACTACTACAAAGTACTTGTAGTTTGAATGGTTTTATCTCAAACTGATATATGTAGAAGTATCAATAAGTCTGTGGAAAAAAAAAAAAAAAGGCATTCATTTTACAATAAATGTATCTCATTGGGAAGGGGTATGTTAGTGCTAAAAAAAAAAAAAAAAAAAAAAAACACACACACACACACACAAACAACAACACGCACACAAAAAAAATCATTAAAATTAGTAAAATCTACCAGATAAACAATACAAAAACCTAACCTTCATTGGTTTACTCTGGGGGAAAAAAAAAAATGACAGTTTTAAATAGGAGGCAGTTAACCAGTACCTGAAAGGCATTGGCTGATAGTGACATCATTAAACAAACTTAAGAACCCCCTAATCAAATTACCATCATTTGAAATAGAAATGCATGAATAGGTATCTAGTTGTAGGGATGTGGATTATGTTGTTTGATCAGCCTTGACTGAGTCAACCTTTGGGTTATATACAAAGATCTGAAATCCTCAACAATCCCACTCATTCACCGAGACATCCCCTTGCACATTTGAAAAGGTATTTTGTGAATTACTAAATATTACACAGAACTGAATACTATAAAGTCAAAATTCAAATGTCAAGTAACAGATTTGTTGATAGAGACACATGTTAGACTTTGGAAATAATGCTAATGAATTTGAGAATGAATGTTCCCATTGATCAACACCCAACAAGTTGATTGCAATGAAAAAAAAAGAAAAAAAGTCTAATATTTACATTAGTTTTTTTCCGATTGCACAGAGCCTGTGATCAAAGAGGAAAAATGCACCAAGAATATATTGTTTGTCATGATAACTTATCAAAAGATAAAGTGGAGTTAATTTCACAGAATTATTTGTATTTGCAAATGAGAATTGGGTCAATCACATTGTTCAAAGAATTAGACTAGTTAAAGTAGAATTGATTTCTCTTCAAAAAGGAGACCAAATATGTTCTATCAGCCAAGCATAGTCATGATATCAATTTTCTGGAGTCTGAAGATA